CAGCACAGCTGATATTTCTCTCCAGGATGGAGTCACAGCCAAACAGGAACAGACCAGATGAAGCTACTATGAGAAAAAGCAGAACGTTAGAGATTGAACTAACAGATTCTGCAGATTGGGAGAATCGAGATAGAATGATGAAAAGCGGTCCCTATGGTGTTGTGGCCAAGAGACGTCAAGAGCGAGTCCAACGTGGATGTCACGGAGAGAATCTGGTCATTTAAAAAAAATAAAACACAATTTAGAATTGGAAAATGAATCATCAGGAAATAATGACAGTTATTAGTTTGTTTTGTGTGGACTGGTTCTAAATGACAGATGGGCCGGTACTGGCTTGGGGGCCCGGTATCACTGATCTTTGTCACTCATCATGGTCAAAAGAAGTGTCTGAGTTGGACAGCGGTCAAACAGTCAGATCATTGCAAAGAATTTAACTATTAAGGTTTCATTTTAATGGCTTCACGTATGGACTTGGCATTAGTAAGTGCAGGTAACGTCCGTGACAATAGTGGATTGTTCTCACAAGCAACACCTCAGGCCCTTTTGGCATAGGACTTATCTTTACAGTATGATATCAGTGTTGAACTTTGAAGTCATTGGATTCTTTCCCAGTGACTGTCCTGGTCCTCCATACAAAGAGAAACGCACACCAGAGAGAGACAGCTTCCTAGTTCCTACATGTTGTTGATACCCTTGATATTTACCATTAGAATTTGAAACAATATGTTTAGAACATTGTACTATACTCTCACAGAACAACAGACATTATAACGAAAAAAAACAAACATTTAAAAAGTAGATTTTTGTCTAAAAGTTTTCAAGTTGTGAAATGGACCCTGCTGTTTTGGGCCACAGCATGGACATTTTTGGGCACTCTATGATGTCACATTTATTTTAAAACCCCCGTTAGCAAAATAAACATCCTCACATGTATGTTAAACTACTTCTGCGCATGGTCATCTACCACCGCACAACAAATTCACACGTGTGAGAAACTGCCGCTTGGAGAGGAGAAATTTGTTCTCTGGGCACGCCAACTCAACGCGCACTTGGGATCATGCTCGGGATCTCATCGAGCGCACAATTTTCTATCCAGCAGTCACGATCGACGACGGCTGCACTCTCGAAAGCGTCTTTGCCTTTTGCACTTCTCCTTGCCCGAAGCAAAATGTGTTTTCACAGGTTGAGTAGAGACAAACCTCTTCTGTAAGCTTCCTGATTTTCTCCTCCCAAAGCAACAGTTTCTCGTACATGTGTGATTTTTTTTGTGCTGTGGTACATAAACCATGTGCAGAAGTCTTTTAACATACATGTGAGTATGTTTATTTTGCTCGCAGGGTTTTCGACGTAAATATGACGCCATAGAACTCCTAACTGAATGCATCGTAAAATATGTGCAACTTTAATCTGGAAATTATGGATTACAAAACTGTTAGAAAGATGCTCCAGGGTCTCTCTGAGAATCAGTAGTGTCACACATTTGTTACTTAAGTAGAAGTATAGATACTGCAGTTTAAAAACACAGGAAAAATAAGTAATGAAGTAAAGATACCTAAAAAGTGTACTTAAGTACAGTAACAAAGTATTTGTACTTGGTTACTTGACACCTCTGCTGAGGATACACCACCAGACATTGCCAACCTTGATGGGAGGGTGATTCAATTATTAGGCAGTCTGTCGTTTGTTTAATATTTCTATATTAGTGGATCATTCTCAGACCCAAAGATAGAAATATACCTTTTACTAGCTCTAACTGCAGACTAATAAACGTACCATCTCTGCTTTGTAAACTATTACAACAACAAGATGTTTATAATCAAAAGATAAAATATTTAGGTGAAAATTACCTTCTTACAAAAGTTTAGCACAGTTAAAGCCAAGGTTTCTCTGTAAGTGAGGGCTGGTTTAGATGAAAATAAACCTTTAGATGGTTTATTTTAGATGAAAATAAACCAGTAGGAGCTGTGCTTCTGGATTTCAAAGTAGCTTTTTATTTGTCTTTAATTTGTTAAAGGTAAGCTCTGTGTCTACACCTTGAAGCTTTCCCTCTCTTGTTCTGTTTCTTGAAAAGAGAACACTCTAGATAAACTCTTTAAATAACAATTCATAATGGTTCTGGTTCTGCTGGAGGTTTCTTTCTGTTCAAAGGGAGTTTTTCCTCTCCACTGTCGCTACAAGCATGCTTAGTATGAGGGATTGCCCCGGTGTCAATGAGTCGATGCAATCAACTGGTTTTCTTTAGATAGAAAACTTTGAATCAGTTTGACTGGATGATCTGGTGAACTGGAAAGTCCCTTGAGATGACATGTGTTGTGAATTGGCGCTATAGAATTAAACTGAATTGAATTGAATAGAGTTTATGTATTATATAACCATTAGACATAACAGATTTTGATAGAAATTATCTTACTCGGATCAGGGAAGTTGCTTAGAGTTACAGAAGGCAGCTGCTTACCAACCAGGCTCACTGCTCGAGAGGTGGCCCCGATAAACAGTTAAAGGTATACTATGCAACCGGTGTTGATTTTTCCAGCGAGGCTCCCCCCAGAGGGCGAAAGTAAAAGTGCACTGTCGTAAATATGCTCAGCTGTTCTCCTGGTTTCTCCGTCAACC